TGAAGAATGTCCTTGTGTTCACAGCAGCTGGATCTCTTGAACATTTTTCCCAAGAGCCAGCCCATTCTAGGTTTCACTCTTCCTCAAACTGCTGAGAACAGACACAACACCTCTTTTGTATTTCTGATTCTTGGTCTTATAAACCAATTCTTAAATTGATTTTACTAGAGCCTGAATGTAGCCTCCCAAGTTTTTCTCATGGCCACTCGATCCATTTCTCTTGGGATTAGATGAACTGCTCATTACAGAATTGTATTGGTTTTTCTGCATATGCTATTTTAAGAAGTCCATCTCCTGTCAAGGTTGCCAGTGTCTCCATATGGCCATGTGCTACTACCACTTGCTCCCCTCACGCTTTATCTGAGCATCATCTGGCAACACTGGCAAGTCCTGAAAAACTTCTGGGTCCTGTTCAGGACAGTGTCCTCTGATAAATGAGCACCCACTTGACTGGCTCCTTCTGATGCTTCCTGCTGCAAGATCCCTAAGTGTTGAAACAAGTCAGAGATCAGCCCTCAGATCTGGATCTTGGTCTTGCTCTAGCTCTCTCCAGTAGACATCCTCAAGACCGTGGCTCTAGATAGCATTCCCAGTCATTTGATCCCCAGTAACTTCTAACTGTTCCAGATTCATAAATACAAAAGCCTAACTGGATGTTTCTACTTGGATATCTAAAATATTTCATATGATTGGTAGTGGGGTCTTCATCTTCCCTCTCTTTCTCCCCAACTTTCCCAATCTTAAGAAGTGCTTTAGAATGTACCCCGTATTTTCAGTACACAGCCTGGTGATCATGTCACTCCTTTCATTATCCCTGCCTGTACCCAGTTTATCAGCAAGTCCTGTCAGCTAAGCTTTCTGAACCAATCCGGGACCACAGTTCCAACTTAACATACACTGCTGCCATCTCTGGTCAACTGGAGTAACTTTCTAAGTGAGCTTTCCACAGTAGTCATCTTGTCACCTATTTTCTTCAAGTAAACCTGAGAGATAATTCTTAAAACATCGCTTCCTTACATGTACAATGCTTTCATCACCAAGAAATAGTAATTTTTTGAATGACAAACATGCAAAGTATCCCAATTTGATCACGTTACAATACAATGTGCTTCAGATTCTGAAGGAGACTGCTTCCATGACCGTTAGGAATACTACCATATACAGAAGATTGAGCCCTTGTATGCAAGTGCGTAGTATTTGCCTATAACCTGCAGAAGTCACATTTTAAATTATACTGTCCCTAGATTAATGATAATATCAAATACAGTACAAACTCTATGTAAACAGTTGATAGATTGTTTAGATAATCATAATGAGAAAGAGTGTATACATCTTCAATACTGATGCAATTTTGCTTCAAATATTTTTTCTCAGCTTTTAAAAATTTTTCAGTTTTTAAATATTTTTATTGAGCTTTTGTAATTTCATACAACAGTTCTTAATCAAATTTAGATCCCTTCCTTCATCTATGCCTCCCCATCTCCCCACAAAACTTCACGTATTCCACCATACATTCATTCTGGCATTTGTAACCAAATGTCCTTCAGTGTAAATGTGTCCACTGGAGTCTAGTTAGCCCATCTAGTGATCATATGTAAGTCATACTCTCCCTCACCCACCAGCAATCAGTCTCCAATAGTTCTCAGTCTAGTGTGGGCCTGCCACCTATTTCTCTCCTCCCTTTTGGGCCCTTGTTTAATTGTGTTGGCGTGGGACCTGTGCTTGATACCATCATTTCCACAACTTCACATGTGTAAGCTTCCAGTGGCCTGGAAGCTTCTGCTTCCCTATGTTCATGAACCAGCCCTGGCTCTTCCAATCTTTCTGCCCCCTGTTCCGCAATGGTCCCTGAGCTGTGGGTGGATAAGGTTCCATATAGGAGCCCTAGCCTACACTCTACAGTCTCTTATTCTTTAAAATTTGGCCAGTCGTGACCTTCTGTGTGCATTGCACTCTGCTATATAAAGAAGCTTTACTGGTGAGAGTTGAGGGATGCTTCAAATACTTTGATTCAAAGTTAGTTGAACACATGGATGCAGAATCCACTTACAAAGAGAGCCAACAGCATATATAAACTGAAACTTCACACTGCACTTCACATATATGTACAATTATTATGTAATTATAAAATGGAACTTAAAATAAATCTTTCTTCCTGAGGCTTTTCCTGACCACTGACATTACTTTCCCCCTTTACCACTAATAACACTAAAACTTAATAACACTCAAACTTCCAGGAATATTAATTTGTTCATCTACATCTAAGTCTATCTCCCCACACCAGGAATGTAATGCTTACGATGGCAGAGTCGTTGTTTGTCTTAACATCTCCTATCCACAGTTCTTAGAAGAATATTAATGCTCGTAGCATGCTCAGTAAGGCTATGTTGAAAAATGTTCTACAGACTGTTTGTACGTGATAGCTTTTTCTCATTTCACCCAGAGTAAAAACCAAAAGCCAGCACATTTATTAGCACGTTCAAAGGCTCTATGACCTGGCTGTTATTACCTTCTCTTGGAAGATGACTGGCAAATCCCTGCCCCCTGGTCATTCAGTTTGGCGTATTATTCCTCTTTGCATCCAGAGGTTCCCTCCCTCTTGTTCCAGATGGACATTTCAGTAGCCTCTCGGTGAGGCTGGCCCTGGCACTTGATCTGCAATTTTGATACTTCCTGCTCTATACTACTGAAACTTACTGTGGGACTCTCCCCTGCCCTATCCCCTTTCTCTTCAGCACTTTTCAGTAATGTGTCATAGATTTAACCTGTTCATCCTGTCTATTATTTGTCTCTCAGATAAATGATAAGATTTTAGGGATTTTGCCTGCTTTGTCCACGTCTGTCCCCGCAGAGCCTAGAGCAGTAATTAGTGCAATTTAGAAACATTTGCTGAATAAGTGAACAAGTGACTGAATATATTATTTAATCTCAATATATTGAACAACTGGTTAGTTAAAAAATAAATTTAGATTTCTTTTAACCATTTGTTAGACAGAAAGTTATTACTGGTAATTTATACATGTGTCCTTCACTCATCTAAGGATGGCTGGAGAGAAGTTCAATATCTAGAGAACATGAATAATGATTGAAAGGCTTGAAATCAATTAAGTATATAGTGCTAAGAACAAGTTCATCTGTTGATGTTGCTGCTTGTAACATCTATAAAACAAACAGCCATGCCATATCATATATATATATATCCAATAATGAAGAAAGCCAATCATTTTCCTTGGGCAGACATCTTTATAAATAATTCGTGGGAAGCATCTGGTTTGTCCTGTCAGTTTTTATTGTACTTTTTTTTCTCCATCTCAACATTACAATTAATTGCTTCAGAGCTGAACTATTGGTTAACCAGCCTTGATGAATCAACCCAAGAAACTGGATTCATTGTGAGACAACTTTTATGTGAATAGTTGGTATTCACTTCACACACCACTGATCAGTGAGACTGAAAGCCTAACCCAAACTTTCTAAGAATTGAAGAAAAGAACAGATTTCAGTTCTGAACCACCTGGGACTTTTAATGCCCATGTTTCTAGAATGGTTAAATAAATGAGCAGCCACTCTGAAACCAGGGGACAGTTTTAGCATGAGGTTGTGTACCACAGAACTATGAGGATTGCTTTTACAGGGTTACCTTCCTTATCAGGTCAAACATGCCTGTTCTAGAAATGGCCTATGAGGAGGGAGAGCTGTGGTTTGCTCACATTTGACAGATTCTCTTTATTGCCTCTTGGCACAGATGAGAACAGGCTTATCCAGTTTCATCTGAAATGTTTTGTCTTCCTTTGAAAAGCAATGATAGTAACAGGTTGGTAGCAGGTCCATAGTCAGGTCATAAGCAGAAAAGCCTCATTAATATTAAGGTACCTGTCAAGTGCACCCCTTTCGATGATCTATAGAAGTCTGCCTTCAAGAATAGATTTTGTGTGGATAAATGTCTGTGCTTGGAAACTATGAAAAATAACTATGGGGGATAGGGTACATTAGGAAAGCAGTGCTCTCACCTTATAAATACAAACTGAACTTCAAATCCAGAAATCTTAGCTACTTAAGGTAATGCTGATCTATTTTTTTCTGTCTACTTTTCAAAATTTAGAACCACTAACCATGTACAATCTACATATATTACCAAATAGCTGTAAATATAACTAAATGTTAAGAACTGTGAACATTTTTCTTAAGAGCCAAAATCAAAATCCATACCTTTACTATTTACTACTTTTACTAGTAACTCTGAAACTACAGGCTGTCCATTTAAACTTAATTTAATGATGTACCATTTACACAACTGGAGTCCCATAGACTTGGTATTGGATGTTGCCATAAAAAGCTGGCAAACATGTTACAGGCGTGCTGGCTTTAACCAAACACAGCTTTTTCCTAGGAAGGCCATCTCTACTTCCATTTCACCTGCGTCAAATACCTTCCGGGGATTTAAAAGAAGGTTGTAGTGGGCCAATCTTGGAAGAGCACTCACGCCCCACATTTCCTAGATGCAAAACTTCGATCAGAATTTGAAAGTAACAGAGCGAAACACTGGAAAACGAAAGGACTGGACTCTGGCTGATTCAGCCCAACGGAGTGCTAAGAAATGTCCTGTCTCTGGCCTGGCCAGTCTTCCTAAATCACTTCTCCCTGAATGTCCCTCTCAACACGCCATCCCCCTTCCAGCTCATTAATCGTTAATTTGGTTTTTGTTTTTTCTCAGATACAGATGGTAGGAGATGGGCATCCGGTGTCCAATGTTTTGGTTTGGTGTTTTGTCCTAATCAGCTGTTCGATAGGCAAACACCAAAACAAAGGTGGCTGCTGGAGTTTGCGGGTGCGCGGCGCACGCCCCCAGTCCTCCCGGCCAGGTTTGGGGCTGGGAACAGATGGGAGGCTGCCTCGCCGGGCCTGCGGGGCTCTGGGCGTCCCATTTCGCCAGCAGCCGCGCGGGCACCGGGAGGGGGTGGTACCGCATTCCAGCCGACAGCCCGCCTTCCCCAACTCACCAGCCTGCGGTGCTGGGGCTCAGAGCGCTGGTGTCGGATTTCACCGCGGGTTTCTTCCCTTCCCAGGCTCCGAGCTCCGGGGCGAGCAGCCACCACCGCGCTGGCAGCTTCAGAGAGCCACAGCCATGAGGACGGCGCCCTGCGTCTGCAACCTGTGGCTCCGATTCAGTCCAACTCCGGGCGGCCCCCAACCCCTGCCCGTCGCGAATGCAAGTGGCAGGGCTGGTAGCACCACCCCGGGAGTCCGCCTCGGCGGCTGGGATCAGGAAGGTTTGTGTGAGAAGGCGTGTCTCTGAGTCCTAACGCGGATGTGCCCGGCTCACCTCGGGCCAATCTTGCTGGTGACTCACCTCCTGCAAGAAGAAACACACTTGGCTCCTGGTTAATTCTCGGCGCTGTGGGGTTGCAAGCCCTAGCTAGCGTTGAGCTCATTTTCATTCACGTATCTTGTGTTTTCTCAAAGGGCTCTGGGCGGTGTGGGGAGACCAGCTTCTATAGATAGCTAGCCTCAGCCAAGGGGATGTGCAGACACCTAGAGCAAGCAGATCCAGGTGGAGGCAGGAAAGGCCTCCGGAAATTGCATTTCTAAAGTTCGGGTGCATTCATATGAACACATTAATCATTATGCGCCACCCCAAAAGCCCTAAAGCCAATTCTGGGAGACCACTGACTTACTGTTTTGTTCCTTTGTTTTTGCTTTGACAGGGTGTCCCTAGTCCTAGCCGGCCTGGAAGTCACTATGTGGACCAGGCTGGCCTCAATCTCTTAGAGATCTACCTGCCTCTGCCTCCTGAGGGCTGAGAGAAAAGGCGCACAAGCTACCACGCCTGGCGTTGAATTACTGTTAAATGAAATAATAAACACACTCATAGTTACTTAACTAGTATTTATTAAGTTCCTACTATGTGGCAGGTCCTGTTCTAAACACTTCCCATTCTCTCATAAAGCCAAGATCCTATGTAGCCCTCTGGGCATTACATTGTGAACATACTCTGACATCCTTAATTTGCAGACTGGTCAGGTGAGAACACATGATCTAATACATACAGTCATGTTTGACTTAGTCCTTCACAAAGAAAACAGTTCCAAACCTGTTGCCTGCATCCACTTAGGGTCAGTAAGACTACTTAAATGTTTAATTGTTTAATCCAGAACTGATCTGATGTCTCAGAAATTAATGCGGCAGACACCACTAAGGTCAACCTCAGAGCATTTCTTATAAAAAGGGGAAAACACCTCAAACCCAAAGATAACCATTTTATGTGGTTTCCTGTTCTTATCTTGAAAATAAGGATAATTGGACCAGCCAGGGCTATGTAGTGAGTTTCCAGCCAGCTTGAGCTACAGTGTGAGACCTGTCTCAAAAAACAACCAACGAACCAATCAACAAAACTTTTTTCTAGAGTTGTTATTGAGTTCATGTCAGTACAGTGCCTAGAACAGTGCCTGGCATTTTGTTCTACAGTGGTCTTGGCTACACTTACTGCTTTAGTAGTACTTAATTTATTCCATTCTCCCAAAATATCATCTAATTTATAAGAATTGTTTTAGATCTTCTAAGAGAAAAATGTCAGCTTATATATATTCAAAATACATATAGTGGGATCTATTTGATAAATCTACTTTACTTCTGTATTAGTTACTTTTCTATTGCAGGGATGAAACACCATGACTGAGGCAACTTACAGAAGGGGCAGTTTATTTGAGCTAAGGGTTCAAGGGGTAAGGGTCCGTAATGGTGGGAAGGCATGGCGGAAGGAGGTGGCCAGAGCAGAAAGCCAAGCAATCACATCTTCAAGCAGGCACTGGAAGCAGAGAGGGACTGGAAATCTGGCAAGGCTTAAAACTCTCAAAGCCTGCCCCTTGTGACATACCACAAGGCTGTACCTCCTAAAACAGCACCTCCAACTAGGCACAAAACGTTCAAATATTTGGAGCCTATGGGGGACATTCTCATTCAAACCACCACAGCATCCATCAGCAATATGTATCTGTATAGCAAGTATATGTTCATGGGTCCAAATAGAGCTAAAAGAAGGAAGATGATTTTATTCCATTGTGAACACACTGATTTAAAGTGGTTGTGCTTAACAATGAGGGCTCGTCTTCCTCATCTATTCCTAATAGCCATTGTTCTCCCGTATGCAGCAGATTCTTACCATGAAAAATTTGACACATTTATCATTTGCTGCCCTTGCCACTTTTCCTAAGTGTGTCACCTGCCTGGTAGGGTGACCCTGGCAGGAACAGCTCTGCTGCAGTGACTTGCTACATGCAGCCCTGTCTTTCTGGTTCTGAGGCTCAGGGCCATTAGTATCCATAGTGACATGACTGTAGGTGATGAGCACCACCTTCCATATAGAGAGAGGACATCCCAGGAGGGGAAGAAAGTAAAAGACAGGAGGATCAGGCTAGAATCAAAGACAGAAAAAGTAATGCAAACAAGGTGACAACATCCTGTGTCATGGTATAATTTTAAAGGCTCCTGTACCTGGGGTTTATGTGGCACAAATTAAATAGATAAAATTTCTGTCTCATTCAACAAAGTAGCTTGTGTGGTAAATACAGACAAAGTGGCAAATTTATCATCTGTATTTCATTTTCCTTTCCTCAAACACTTTCAGTACAATAAATTCATGTTGTTTTTAAAAAATACTTTTAAACGATCAAGAAAAAAAAAAGATGAGACATCATCAGATAAAATAAATTGCAATGTATTTTAAAAATAATTTTAATCAGTTGGAGGCAAGGTACACGATTCAGAAGATCCATTTGCACAGAACATGTCTAGGGGTAGCGTTCTGAATAAGTGGTTACAAACCATTCCCCTGGCAAAACCCAGCAGGCTCAGACGGAGTTGGGCCAGATGTGGGGATTGTCCATAGAATGCTTGGACCCAAAGTTCCCTTCTCCATTGTCATGCAATCAACCAAGAATAAGTTCCTTCATCCGCTCATTCCGAACTCCAGCAGACTGGAGGTGCATGTTCTGGCAAATGCAACTAGAGTAATTTATGGCTCAGCAACACCAACTGAACATATGCCCTTTCACTCTGCTCCTAATGAGTGACTAGCAAAACAGTTTATATACAAAACAAACAATATAAAAACCTCCTGAGATAAAAAAAAATACTAAAAAATGTTAAAAGTGTAAAAGAAAAGTTTTAGGGAAAATAAAACAAAAGTTACATAAAATATTAACAAAAATCTGTAACTCAAAGTAATTCCAGAGAATTCTAGAAAGGAGTTCAGAACATAAATGGATGGAAAAGTGAATAAAAAGAAACAATGCTTTAAAAAATTCCACAAATTAAGGCTACTTAAGGCTATGAACTTCAGAGAACAAAGTTTCCACTAACAGTCAAGAAGAATAAATTTCAAATTTATTTTATTTTAAAAATATTTTTATTTAAAAATGTATATGAGTTTATTGCCTGTTTGTATTGTTTGTATCTAAGTGAACCCCTGTCATACAATGCCCCTGGAGGTCAGAAGAGGATGTCAGATCCCATGGAACTGGAGTTATGGACGTTGTTAGCTGCCATGTGGGTGCTGGGAACTGAACCTGGGTCCTCTGCAAGAGCAAACAGTGCTCTTAAACTTGGAGTCATCTCTTTAGCCCCAAACTTCAAATTAATTAATTAATTAGACATACCATGATTCATCAGATATAACAGTAGCCCAGAAATAAAGTAAAAAATCTAAAATGTCTTCCAGAACCATAAGGCAGCCATATATAAAAAAACCCTGCATTGAAATCTAGATGCTTGTGTGAATATCTTTACATCTTAAATTAATTTAGAATTGTTTACTCAGATGAATTGTTAGCCATGTAAATAAAGACATTTTCATGCTTTCAAGACCTCTAAATTGTCCTTCTTATATACCATTTTTAAGGAATATCATCCCATTTCAAACAAGCTGATAGATCAAGAGGACAAAGATGAACCCTAGAAAGCTTAAGTCCAATATGAGAGACAGGAATTAGAATTCTCCAGAAGAATACTATTAGGCAACAGGCCTAAAGTAGGAGGATGGCTTGCAGTAGTTATGTCTTCAAAAACATAAGAAAGAAAATCATAGATCTGACACACATGTGCACTGGAAATTTATTAAGAATGCTCACTGGAGTCACTGGATTCTGGGTTCTTTTCTCATAAACATCCCACTGGATTTTTTTGAGCACCCTGCAGCTGAAAAAGAGTACAAATGAGTTCTAGCCAGTGAAACGTGGACAGAAGTGGTAGACACTCCAGTCCACACCCAGAACATAGCTCCTGAGCTCCCAGCTTCCCTCTGCATACCTCTCTTTTTCTCACTAGTATGAAGATAGAGAAGGGAGGAAGCCTTCTGAAACCTACAGGACATTAAAGTTAGTAGGGGAGGGAGTTTGTGACCATGAATGAATGATTGTATCTATAAAAACCCAAGCTGTTACCTTTTGAACAATGACTTGAGCAAGAAATAAACTTCTATAAAGACACAGATTTTGGGGGTTACAGCAATTAGGTTATTCTGATTGTAACAATTTGAAGTATCATTTGGAGGCAATTTTGGGTAATTTGATTATGTGCACAAAGTATGCTAAATAACATCTAAAAGTACATTAGAAACTCCAGGAATAAACAAAAGTTGTGTGAGAAAAGAATTCCATGATACAATTCGGCATCATTCAAATGTGAATATAATCAGTATAATAAGATTCCCCAAATAATTAACCAAATGGAAAAAAAAAAACCTATATTTGGGGGGTTGGGAAGCATGCAAGGGAAAGACTTGGAATGTGTGTATGTGTGAAGCAACAAAATCTATAGTTATGATCACATAAAGTCAATAAACATTGGGTAAGATGGCACACGCCTTTAATCCCAGCACTCGGGAGGCAGAGACAGGTGGATCTCTGTGAGTTCAAGGCCAGCCTGGTCTACATAGTGAGTTCCACGACAGCTAGGGCTACAGGGAGACCCTGTCTCAAAAAAACCAAAAAAAAAAAAAAAATGTAGGAGGATAGCAAATCATTTGAAATATGTAAGGGCCACAAAGCCATGAAATGAATCAGATATTTTCTTATGGAATTCAGCCAGGACTTAGGAAAAAAATCTGTGGCTACTTTGTAACAACTTTAACAGTATTTTACACTGTTTTCTTTTTTAGTTTTAAAAAGATTTATATGGGGATGGAGAGATGGCTCAGTGGTTTATAACACTGGCTGTTCTTGTAGAAGACCCAGGTTTGAATCCCAGCACCCACATGGTGGGTTAACAACAGTCTGTAACTCCAGT